TGCTGCTGCCACTCAGCTGTGCCTGCATCTCCCTGGCGGATCCAAATCACTGAATCTCTCCAAATCGGCGCCAAACCTTCCAAAGCCGATTCGGCCGAATCGATTCAGCACAGTGATCCAAATGAAATCACTGTCCTCCGAATCAGCCGAATCTGAATCAAATATTTCCCTATTCGCAGAGGCCTACTATGAAGACTGAAACATTGAATCTTAGGTGTTGCAAAGCCCTTCTTGGCTGACGTGCATCAAGGGAGAGCATATGCATAAAATACCTAATGGTTGAGATTTGCCAGAACCTGATTTTATTGTCCTGGATCAAAGCATTAGTGATTGAAACATTTTAAGCAGTTGTGGTCTAGAAACCTTGCCAACTATAGGTTCAGAGTGCCTTCAAGTAATGAGAGGATAGTATCATTTTCTTCCTCTGGGGAGAGTTTCAGAGTCTGAGGGTACAGTAAAGACAGCAGGATGAGCCCTGGAGAGGGAAGAAATTGTGTAATACACATCCATTTTCAGCAATCTCCCTGACTAATTAAGGAACAACATTGATGGGCTTGGAAAAGCACCTGATTAATTCCCCTGCCAGAAAGATGACACCTTAGAGGGGTGCTTTGCATGCAGTATCAGGGGAAAAAATAAGATTCTTGAGGATCCTAAAGTGAGAAATAGTCCAGAATGATAAAAATTCTCCTTTGGCACAAGGTTAGAAAAATCATTGGCAGTTGCAGTTTCCACAGCTTTTGTTGCCCCTCCATAGTTTATTTTTTTTACTAATAATGTTTGGGGTGCCTGCCTTGTCCAGTCCCCAGTTAGAGCAAATGCAGTTTATATTTAATGTGTGTTCTTTTATTGAACAAGATCATGGTTACTGAAACTAAGAAAAAGCATCACGTTTGCACTCCTCTTTAGAGAAGCAAAGGAAAGCTTCTGTTCATAGATTTCATAGACATTAGGGCTGGAAGGGACCTTGGAAAATCATCGAGTCCAGCCCCACACCCAAATGGCAGGAAGTCAGCTGGGGTCATAGGATCCCAGCAAGATAAGCATCCAATTTTCTCTTGAAGGTGTTCACTGTAGGCGCTTGAACCACCTCCGGTGGCAGGCTGTTCCAGGCCTTGGGGGCTCGGACAGTGAAGAAATTCTTCCTTATGTCCAGCCTGAAACGGTCATGGAGGAGTTTGTGACCGTTCAACCTCGTCATCCCTTGGGGCGCTCTGGTGAACAAACGTTCCCCCAGATACTGGTGGTCACCCCTGATAAACTTGTAGGTGGCCATCAGATCACCCCTGAGCCTGCGCTTTTCCAGGCTAAAGAGCCCCAGGGCTCTCAGCCTGTCATCGTAGGGTCTGCTTCCCTGACCTCTGATCATGCGCGTGGCTCTTCTCTGCACTCTCTCAAGCTTCTCCACATCCTTTTTGAATTGTGGAGCCCAAAACTGGACGCAGTACTTGTACTCGGCCTTGGTGAGGCCGCAGCTGAAGGGGAGAATGATGTCTCAAGATTTGCTTGAGAAGCATCTATGGATGCAAGCCAGCGTTTTGCTCACTTTACTAGCCGCAGCATCACATTGCAGGCTCATGTTCGTCTTGTGGTCAATGACGACCCCCAAGTGTCTTTCTTCCATAGTGCTAGCCAGCGTAGCACTGCTGAGCCTATAAGGACGCTGCAGGTTTTTCCTCCCAAGGTGGAGAACCTTGCATTTTTCGGTGTTGGCGTTGGCCAGTCCATTAAGGATGGCCTGTTCAATAATCTTTTCCAAGACCCTCCCCAGGATAGAGGTCAGGCTGATGGGCCTGTAGTTTGCCAGATCCACTTTCCTCCCTTTCTTGAAGATAGGCACCACATTGGCCTTCTTCCAGTCTTCGGGCACTTCACCAGAGCGCCAGGAGCTCTCGAAGATCTGTGCCAGGGGCTGAGCTATGATGCTCGCCAGCTCCTTGAGTACCCTGGGGTGTAGGTTGTCAGGGCCGGCTGAGTTGAAGGTATCCAGCCTTTCAAGGTGTTCCTTTACGAGGTCAGCATTGATGGAGGGCAGGGGATCTCCCTCACCTGGACCTCCCTGTCCCGTAATGGGCATGGGAGTCCCATGGGACTGATGAAAGACCGATGCAAAGTACCCATTTAATAGGTTGCCTTTTTCCTGGGCATCAGTTGTCCCATCTGGTTTAGCAGGGGTCCAGTGTTGCCCTTGCTTTTCCTCCGGCTCCCCACATATGTGAAAAAGGACTTTTTATTGTCCTTGATACTCAAAGCTAGTTGGAGTTCAGTTGCAGCCTTGGCTTTCCTGGTCTGCTCCCTGCAAAAGCTAGAAATTCCCAAATAATTATATAATAACAGACAGGCATGTTTCATGTATGGGAGCTGCAATGACAGCTGCTAGTCCTTCCTTTATATAAACTGCCTTAACTGTACAGCTGGAAAAAACCTTTTAAAACGTCTGATGCAGTATTTTTGTTCAGCAGATTTCTTTTCTATATTTCAGTTTAATAAACACTTCCCTGCCTTGAAATGAACAGAAACGAGTTAAATAAAAATCCTTGCAGGTTCATGTAATGTATGGTATTCAGTACCAAGGTGATAGCATCTTTGCACCAGACTTGTTTTGTTAGAAAGCCTGTCACTTCCAACACCGCCTGAAACAACCTTTCGCACAGACATTGGGAATGCGAGTGCAGACAGCCGTTCTGTTAGTGTTGTATTCACTTACTGTCTAATTCTGCACAGACAGATTTATGTGGGACTACCTAAAATGTCAGGGAATGAATAATGCTCGTCTGTCCCGGTGTTCCCACTCTTGCTATTGCTAAGTTCTAGCAACAGTGGGGAAGAACTTGGGAAAGTTTTAGGATAGACATGAGCTAAGGATTTTTGCAATCTTTGCGTGAATTTGTCACAAAAAGGATGTTTTAATAAAGAACCCTTGGACAGCTACTAAAAATGGAATAAAGACTGGTACTTGCCATACACAGATTCTCAGTGAATCTGGGCTGAACCTATCTACCAGTGCCAAATAATTGGGTATTCAGTTCTTTGTAATAAAAAGAGGTTTTATTTTTTCCAGTTATTTTAATTGTCTGAGAGGAAAATAAAATACCGTCATTTCTGTTTTAGGATCAAAATTCAGACCGAGCAAGTATTTCATCTCTTGGAGCCCTGGATTCAGAATCTACCTCTCTAACTGATGAAGACGTCTGCAATGACTTAGAAGGTGCTTCTCCTCCTCAAGAGAATAATGTCACCTCAGAAATTAAGAGAATGGGTCTCAGTAGAACGAGCCTAGAAAGCTCAGTTTCCCCTGATGGCTCATCCAAGCAGTTCGATCAGTCTGGTAAGAGATGCTTTCTGTTTGCATTAAATTTGCAATCTGGCGTTCAAAACTAGGATGTTGGAAGCGGAGGGTCCTTTTCCTACTTTGGGACTGTGGTAGACATATCAGTCCTTTAGTGCAAATGTTTCTCCCCACCTCTGTACAAACTGCTGTCTCACTGCACCGTATGCCCATGCCCACCTGTATTCCAGCTGCAGTCTTTTACATCACTGGGTCTGTAAAACTGCCAGCAGAGTGAATGTCACGGTTGGGACTTCCTGGTGACGCCTCTATACAAATAACAATAATTGTAAGATCCTCTTAACCTCCTACCTTATTTTTTCCAGGACTTATTCCCGCACATCCCTAGTATATTTGGTAGCTAACAGAGAGAACTGCCTATTATATAGCCTTTTCTTAGCTGAAATGCAGAAGCCTTTAACAAGGCTTGCTGATTGGAAGCTGACTTATTGTGCCTCGCTTTTTCATCTGTATAGAAAGTGTTACTAAAAATATAACCGTGGTGCAGTCTTGTATAGATAATTTTTCAGTGTGGAGAGTAATTCAGGCTTTAATTGAATTGCCTCTAATCTTCCAGGGAGATTTACCGGTGGGTTTTGGTATAAAATACACATTCTGCATACCGGTCACAAATGAGTACCATCTTTTAAGCAAAGCCAGACTGAAAGGAAGCATGGTTCAGTGAGCAAGCATGGGACTGATAGGAGACGTGGGTATAATTTTGGGCTCTCTCCCAGAGTCCGTGAATGTCCGCAGTGAAGAACAAGCCCTTTGTTTGCTTTTAAAAGGAAAGGCAAAACCCTCTGTGGAGAGAGCTCCAGGAGCGTCATGTGTGTCTGACAGCCCCGCTGCCTGTTGCACAGCAAGAAGCAGAGAAGCTCATTGCTGCTAGGGTAGGGATCAAGGAGAGTTTCTGGAGCGGAGGGATCTGCATGCGAGGCAAGCAGGAGACTAGGAAATGGGCATCTGGGAGGAATGGAGTTCTCCTTTACGGGGTAACTGCAGCTCCACAACTGTTGGGAGCAGTGTGTACGTATGGGTGACAGGCACACTGTGTTGAGGGGGGTAACAGCTGCACACTCTGCTCCTTGAGCCAGGTCTGTGCGGCTCAAGGCAGTACTGTGCAGAGACAACTGAGGCAGCTCTGCCTGCCATAGCTAAGGAACTGGAGAAAGCTTCCTGCACTGGCATGGGGCTGTGCCTGGAGTACTTCGCTCCTCCGTAAAGCAGGACTTATTAGCACAGGCACAGCAGCACTCCAATGCAGCTCAGCTTGTTCAGTTCTGGAAAGCTAGATGGGACTCTCTGCACACCACTGATCCGCATTGTGTAGCACATAGCACATTTGCAGCTAGCTGGGGTGCCTCTGCCTGCCATTGTACCACGAGGTATAGGCGGGGATCTCTCCCCTTTCGGCACTGGAGTCCTCTCTTGCTTGGGTGCAGTAGCACTGGGCCTTTTTAGTGAGGAGGTGAAAGTAACTGCATTTGTGCCAAAACGCTTTGCACTCCCGCACGTATCTGGATGCGGACAAGCAGACATGCATGCATGCACTGTTGGCAGCTGTCAGCTTGTTCATAGTGAGTTGCTGGGGGTGGCGGGTGGTTTGAGCAAGACTGCAACCACTTGGTACTTCCTCCGTCTCCACAGCCATGCTCTCAGGCTGCTTCTTTCATCTCTTCTTCATGTTGACTCATACAGGAAATAAAAGCCTTGTCTTAGCTACTGAGTTGCATCTTTCATAACTTCTACGTATCCTGGGGTTCCAGGCTCGGCAGCTTGCTGCCATTGGCACAGGGTAGGCAGAGCCAGCAGCTGCCATCTTAATGACTTACCCTCTTCCCGAGAGAAACATTTTACTGCCTGCATGTTGCTTGGTTAAACTGTACTTGTAATATCTATTCAGTAGCAACTAATGCTGTCCTTTGTTTGCCAATGAATAGGTTCCCTGTCGAAGTTCCCCTTGCCTGACAAATCAGAGCTGGTATCTTCCTGCAGCACAAGCAGCACCAGCGTGTTCCAGAACTATGCTATGGAGGTACAGTCTGACTTCTCATCGCCTTCATTGTGATGCATGCAGGAAAGTTGTTATTTCTTAAACACAAGGCCCAGTAAGGTGAAGGAACGGTTGATATGTAAATGCTACTTTAAACTTCATTTTAAAAGTTAAAAAAAAACACCTCGGCATAGCAGAAACTGGAAGGTAATGCTTCCAGTAACAGAGCAGGCTTTGGCTCCAATCCTGATAACTCTTGCAGTTCATCATCTTACTGCTTAAAACTGTCCTGCCCTGATGAATCTTTCTGAGGACTTTTGGAACTAGTTGAGTTGGAGGAGCAGACCATAAAGCAGATTGTTGTCCCAACCAAATTAGACATGCACCTGCTATCGCTCTTGGTCTTGCTTCTCCTTAGGAGCAGAGGGCTGGACACTTCACATGCACATTGGTAGCACATGGGTCCCCCAAGGGAAACCTCAATTCTGGGAACACCTTGATCCAAAAGTTTTTCAGCTTCCTCTTCTGTAAAGGAGTTTGGGGTATTTTTCCCCTGCTTAGCTAATACTTCCCACTCTTTTTGATACCTAGAAAATAAGTTTACTGGGAAGATCAAATACAGAATGCACCTGTTCATAGGTGCATCAGTTCATGTCTGAAAGGGGGTGACCTTGCTCTTCACTGTGTTCAGATGGTACAGAACTTGCCTTATTTATCAGTGTGGTGCCCAGAGGAGAGGCAGAAGTGCAGGCTGTCCAAATAGTTGTGAGCTGTAGAATATTCCTGCTTAACTAAGACTGATCAGAGTGACTTGCCCTGGCTTGAAGCAGAGGGCAGGTGAGCAGCCACATCACGCTTGGACACATCTGCCACCAGAGTCTTTGAGGGGGAGGTGGTAGGTGAAACACAGTACCCTGGCAAAGCAACATTTTCAGAAGAAACTGTACAGAGAAGTCCAGGTTGTGTTTGACTGGCTGACAATCTCTACTTATCCAGCCCCAGAGAAGCTGGGCATTTAGTGTGAACTTTTCCAGGAACCCTAGGCACATCTACACACACAGGCATGTGCGCTTGCAGCAGCTCAGATAAGAGCGGTACAGTTTTGAGGTGGGGATGTTTGACTCGGCACATGTGCCTGGACATGCACTTTGGTGTGGGGCAAGTTGTGCCAGTTGAGGCAAAATAACCCTGCTCAGCTCCTCCTGGATCTTCAGCCAGCGGGAGCTAGAGCCTGGGGCTAGCACCTGTGCTGGCCCCAGCAGTATAAAAAGCTGCCCTGGCAAGCAGCTCAGGGCTGTTTGCTCTCACGAGCTTCTGGGGCCTGGCCAATTGGTATGTGGGGGCAGTACCCCTTGTGCCAGCTGGACTGCTGCAGCAGCCCTGACAGAGTTGCTTGCAGCAACTAGAAGTGCCCGTTGCAGCAATCTACAAGTGGGGGCGACTGCCTGGCTGTGACCTGCTGCCGCCTGTGACAACATGTGGCCCCAAGGCTACGCACCTGCCAGACCCAGATGGGGACTGCACGGGGGCAGCAGCAGGATCTGCACCCCTGGGCCAGCTGCCAGTGGGCCGCAGCTGCACAGTTGTCCTTTGTGCAGCACTGCTGCCATGTGTGCTGCCGCCCTGCCATCTGGGCAGCTATCACCTGGAAGATGTTCTCAGTGTGGTGGCCTGCTTTGAACTGTCAAAGCATGTCCTCCTGGCCCCAAGTGGCCAGGAAGTCAGCCACCTCCAGCTGGGTCCCAGGTGCCAGTCCTGAACAGGCTTCTCTGCCTGGGTCCTGCCACTTGCCTCCCTAGCAGGAGTTCTGGTGTCCCTTATTTAAAAACTGCAAAATCTCTGATAAAAAAAATCCTAAATTCATTCTTTAAAATCCCCCCAAATCCATGTTCTTCCACAATTAAAACAAAAGAGCACTATATATAATATATATGGGGAGAGGGAGAGCGAGATCCGTTGGGCAATGTTTTATTGATATTTTTACAATGTAGCTCTGCGGGATTAAAAGTAGCTGCAGAATTGTACTAACCAAGTGCTGTACACAGGTCCTCATCTCAAGCTGTTCGCGCTGTCGAACCTGTGACTGTCTGGTTCATGATGAAGAAATCATGGCAGGTTGGACAGCTGATGACTCGAATCTCAATACCACATGTCCCTTCTGTGGTAATCTGTTCCTGCCCTTCTTGAGTATAGAAATCAGAGATCTCCGACGACCCGGACGGTAATCATTCGTTGTTTGTTTTTCGTTGAAGGTTTTGTGTGCTCTATTTTTCAGAAAACTTTTTAACATAACCTTAACTCTTCACTTTCCCCATAGATACTTTCTGAAGTCCAGTCCATCTATAGAGAATATGCAACTCCTACCACCGTTTTCAAATCAAACAAGAAGGGCCTGTAACTCTTCTGCCACTGCTGGTCCTGCTATATCAGTGATGTCCATTCAAGATGATGATAACACAAATTGGTAAACATGGTGCATTTTCCATAGCTTGATATTTCATGGGAAATTACTGGCATCTTTGTGGGCATGCATGTATGTGTATTCCCCTTTGAGGGAATTGAATCTATTTGATTGCTCCTCACTGCTTCTTGAAGGGTTGGATGTCTGTCAGCTTTTCTGGAGTAGATGTTTCCATTTCTTCTCGGACATGGGCAGTCACAAACAAAAGCCCATGCAAAACCCTGCAAAATTCATTCAGGAATTGATTATGGCCTGTGTCCATTAGTTAATGCATGGGGAGAGTTCTTCACCTGAGCAGTAGTGGCAATATTGTTGACTGGATTGAGTCTGAGGTACCATTTTGAGTCCTGGGGCTGTTGGGTGCAGTGAGGATAATGATCCAGTGGGTGAGTCGTCTGGTTTGTATCTCTGGTCTGTTTTAGCAAACAGAGTATTTAGAAACGCAACGAGAAAAACTTGAGGTTCAACAAGGACAAGTGCAAAGTCCTCCTGCACTAAGGGCAGAAGGATCCCATGCACTGGTGCAGGCTGGGGGATGATTGGCTAAAAAGGGGCTATACCAAAAAGACTTCAGTGTTGCAGTGAACAGCAAGATGGATATGAGCCAGCAGTGTGCCCTTGTTGCCAAGAAGGCTAAGGGCATCCTGGGCTGCGTTGGTAGGGGCATCGCCAGGAGATCAAGGGAAGGGATTATTCCCCTCTGTTCAGCACTAGTGAGGCCACATCAAAAGTCCTGCGTCCAGTTTTGGGCCCCCGCTACAGAAAGGATGTGGACAGATTGGAGAGAGTCTAGCTGAGGGCAGTGAAAATGGTTCAGAGGCTGAGGCAAGTGACTTGTGAGGAGAGGCCAAGGGACCTGGGCTTATTTAGTCTAGAGAAGAGAAGACTGAGGGGTATTTAATAGCAGCCTTCAACTCCCTGCAGGGGGTTGCAAAGAGGATGGAGCTGGGCTGGTCTCAGTGGGGGCAGATGATAGAACAAGGAGCAATGGGCTCCAGTTAAAGCAAGGGAAGTTGAGGTTTGATATTAGGAAAAACTTTCTCAGTAGGAGGGTGGGGAAGCTCTGGAAGACGCTCCCCAGAGAGGTGATGCACTCTCCATCCTTGGAGGTTTTGAAGACCCAGGTAGACAAAGCCTTGGCTGGGATGATCTAGTTGGGGCTGGTCCTGCTTGGAGCAGGGGGTTGGACTAGATGTGACCTCCTGAGGGGCCCTTCCAGCCCTCATTTTCTATAATTCTATGAAAGCTAACTTTTCCCCCCAGCAAATCTGAAGAGCAAGACAATACCTGTGCTAGAAGCATCCAGATCCCTTCAGGAAGAAGGCAAAATCCCACAGGACCAGAATGTCCAAGCCACCCTGTAGCACGAAGTATCAGCACTTACGGTCCACTGGAAGAAGATGAGAAGAAGAACCGGAAACTCAGTCATCTTATTCCCACTGGCAGCCTGCCTGCCACTTTGCAAGGAACAGTGCGTGATTTTGTTTCTAAATTTAAGCAACAATATGTTAAGTATGCAGTAGAGTTCAGTAATGCGGGTAGTGCTAATGTCACCTGAAATGACCCTACTCAAGTTCTCAGCAGAAATGAATATTGTTTATGTTCATATAAACTAAAAATTAATTTCAGCTAGTGGATTTGGGGGTGAGATTGTTATAGATGGCTACATTCCATTTAATTCCATTTCTTTCTTTCCTACGATAGGATCCCCTGGCGCTAGAATGGCACTTACCCAGTCCAGACCCTATAACCGTTCCTTACCTGAGTCCTTTAGTAGTATGGAAGGAGCTTGAAAGCTTACTTGAAAATGAAGGAGACCGTGCGATAACAGTGCCAGATTTTGTAGACCATCATCCTATCGTGTTTTGGAATCTGGTGTGGTACTTCAGGCGGCTGGACCTTCCTAGTAATTTACCAGGATTAATTCTTTCTTCTGAACACTGCAATAAAAACTCAAAGGTATGGAAGACATAGATAGGGCGGTATTGAATTATGTTAGTCTTTCAGGGGTATAAATTGTAGCTGCATTGGTCTAAGGACACAGGCAGACAAGGTTCTTTGGGTAAATCTGGTATCTTTTATTAAACCAACTCAGCTGGAAAAATTCTTCTTTGCAAGCTTTTGGGTATAAATACCCTTTGTCAAGCTCAGGAAGCATCTGCAGTTGGTGTGTCCTCTTCCTGGCAGTAACTAATCCTAATCCTTCATAATCTTTATATGTGGGAATAACTCTTAGGGCCTGGGTAGGTGACACATTTGCATTTGTGTAATCAGCATTATACCAGTGTAAAACGATAGCATACAAATGATCCCCCAAACCAGGGCAACTTTCCCATAATCCTGTTGAGGTTCCCCCCTGGAGACTGGTCAAATCCCGCTGGTCTGCTTTGTTTCTTTAGGCGCTGGCTTTCCATAGTTTATCCTGGGGTAAAGCAAACAAGCTATGTCCTGCTCCCCCCCTGTCCCCTTGCAGGTGTGGTGATAGCCGCCTGTGATCAGAGCTATCCCATGATAAACTGCACATCTCTTGTGTGCCCCTGTGAAACTTGCACCAGTGCAAAACCACCAGAGGATCGGTGTGTTCCTGCTCTGATGCTGAGTCTTACAGCCTGCTGGACCTAGTCCTCAGCTGCTGCAGATTGTCACCGCTCCATTTAGTTCAGCTGGAGCAGTCTTTCCATGTCTTAACTCTTGACCTTGGACCCAGCTGGGCCTGCACTGCATGGAGTGCTCTGGCGAACTTTCATGTGATGCTGCACTGCCAGGGAGATCACATTCCAGATGTTTTTGCTTTATGCTGCTAAATTGCATGGAGTTGCGGGAAGGGGGCATTGATTCTGGAAGGGCGAGAAGGAGAGAGATCCTGACATCATTTGCACAGCCCCGTGCTTTGGTCTTCACGAGTTGGATTCTGGTACCACTTGGAATCAAACACTGATTTCTCCGTGGATGTTTTCGACAGAGGGTTACGATGAACGCTTCTGTACAGCATAGTGGTAGGTCAGCGGCTATCAGTCACATACAGAAGACAGGTGCTGTGATGGTGTAAAAATGTAATCCTGTAGACTTACGTCTTCATTTTCTCCTTCAGATTCCACGGAATTGCATGTCAGAGGACAGTAAGTATGTTCTCATTCAGATGCTGTGGGACAACATGAAGCTGCACCAGGACCCGAGGCAGCCCCTGTATATTCTGTGGAACGCCCAGAGTGAGTTCCTCCCTTCAGGGCATGAGTCGTTTTGGTTCGGGGTATCTAAAGAATGCCTCTGGTTTGATAGTCCAGAGAGATACGCTACTGATTTTTGATCACACCGCTTTCTTTGTCTTGCAGGTCAAAATCGCACTCTTTTGTTTGAGAGTGAGTGTTACGTTCGGTGTTGCTATTGCTACAGTTTTTGTGACCTTTTTTTTGTGTGGGCGTGTGTTTTACAGTAGACCTTAGCTTTCAGCATATTGCTTGAATATTTTTTTTTCCTGGTATCTCGGTTTCAAATTGTAGACCAACATTTCTAGTCAGTTGGGTTTTTTTTAAATAGAGGAGGGGGGAAATAGAGAGGACTCTCCAGTTCCTCCCTGCAGCCTGTGCTTTCTTATTTTAAAAGTAAGGGTCAGCTGTTTTGTTTTTGCATTTAATAAGTAATTGGTCATCCTGCAAACCGTACAGCCTGACCATGGTTGGTGGCCCTGTTTCTGGCTGTACCCTTTTGCTTTTCTTCTGTATACCTGTTCCATTTCTTTTACTTTGATGCTGTTCTGAGTTGGTGCTTCTCTATTATTTTTTGATAACTTGTGTGTATATATCCTGTTTTATGTCGCTTTTCACCGCGTTTTATTTTTCTCATGCCTTTTTGCTGCATGCTTCTTCTAATGGCGATTGGGGTCTTTTTCTTTGCAGCCCAGAAGTATCCAGTAGTCCATTTACTGCAGAAAGATGACGACTCCTTCAATCAGGAGCTCTTGAGAAGCATGGTGAAAAGTATCAAGATGAATGATGTCTATGGGCCTATGAGTCAAATCCTGGATAGACTGAACAAATGGCCACACATTAAAAGGCAGAGGTAGGAATACACGTGACATTGAAGCAGACTTTTACAGTAAGCCCAGTATTGCCGTTTGGAGAATACTTCCATAGGTTTACAACCATCCCATGTGGTCAGCAGTGTTTGTGCGTGTGTGTGTCATCTAATGCTCAATATTTTTAACAGTAAAACATCCAGAAAAGGAAATATCTTCAGAATGCATGAGCAAATTTGGCATAAAATTATTTTAATTTCATTTTTTTTATTCTCTTTCTCTTCGCTTTTCTCCCTTCTTTTTTCCTGGTGCTGCATTTGGACGAGGGGCAAGAGGAAGAGAAGAGAATCACTTTCTTTTACTTGGACTTTTTAAATTATTTTTCCCTACTGGGTGAATGGAGTAAAAAGTAGGAGAAAAGTAGGAGACATGTCCGCTCATTAAAATGAATAAATTGTCAGTCCCCAGAGTAAAAGGTTTTTTTGTAGAAAATCCTTTTCTATCAAAATGTTTTTTCTTAAAGCCAAGTGGGGGAGGGAGAGACTTGACAGTTTTCTCTATTCAGTGTGTGCGTGCGCCAGCACTTGTACAGTCTGCGCCTGTGCTCGCATGCACACCCTCATCTGGCCTCTGCTGATTTCCCTGGGGGGTTGCTCAGGCCTTTAGATGACGAACTCCTACTGGGGGCAGCACATCACTTTCCACATGTGAGCAGTGCTGGATTCAGTAGGTAGGACTTGCCAACGTGGGATTTTGTAAATAATGTGCTTGTATAACTACTGCGCATTTCCCTAAGTTTTAGCCTGATGTTTGGAATGGTCGGAAATATCCGCCCCTCGCAGACTGTTGTACAAGATGATTTTTCTGGTTTTACATTGACATTTCTTTTACATTTTAGGAGCCTGTATAGAGAAATACTATTTCTTTCCCTTGTTGCTCTAGGAAGAGATAACATTGATATAGGTAAGCAATAAACGTGGATTTTGCATGTCCACATACCCTTCAGCTTTTGAGAAGCAAATGTTCATCTTGATTTATTAGAATAAATCACAAATAATTGAACAGAATTAGAATCATTCCAATTATTAGCATGGATCTTTCTGTGGATCCTGCTAAGATATGCGCCCTGGCATGCACATTTTCAGTATATCTTGTGTTGAAAACAAGTGACATTTCATGGCCTCTGGCATTAATCGCAGCTGCACTCGGTAAATATGAACAGTACACAGACTATCATTTTTTTATTATTATTTCTGCAGATGCTTTTGATAGAGAATATAAAATGGCCTATGATCGTCTCACAGCAAATCAGGTCAAAAATACTCATAACTGTGACAGACCACCAAGCACTGGAGTGATGGAGTGCCGGAAGATTTTTGGAGAACCATACCTTTAAATAAGTTACAATGTGATGTAGACATGTAAAATGCCACTTGGGTCACAAAGATCATCTCTCGGTCATTGGTGTTCAAAAGTGTTTCCAATGTTACCATGGCAGAAGGCCCTGGAGAAATTAAGCCTGTAGAGAGTTACAGAAATGGCTGTGGGTTGAGGAACATGCCAAAAACTGTTTCCCTGTTCCTTCTCTGCTCTGCTGATCACTTAGTGAAGTGGGGGACCCCGACCTAAATTAGATTTTTAATGTGGAACAACCCTTAACAGTCCTTTGAGAACTTTTGGGAGAGACAGGCACAAATAATGCACTGAAACAAGCATGAGCGAAGTAAATCCTGCAAAATCTCTTGTTTACATAGCATATTGGCAACGTGGTGAAAAGCAGACAGAGCTGTATTGTATAGCCTGGTCATTGTGTATAGCAAACTGATATTTTTTTAATTTTTTTAATTCCTATAGTGAATTTTAAAGGAACTTATTGCATAAGCAATACAGTTGCTCTTTTGTTTCCTCTCAGTACACTGCTGTTCATAGTAACTTGTCCTGTTAGTTTTTGGAAGTCATTTGTTTTCAAAGTAGTCTAGAAATTTCAACACCACCCTAGAGAAGACTCTGGGGTCAATATTTCTCTTGTGCACATACAGAAGGATGTACTACCACTGCAGTCAGATGAAGTGTGGCAAACGTGTGTGAAGTGATGGTAACTAGCACACTGCTGGCTTTGTAGAGATCCCATGCCAAATTCTGCAGAGATCCCATGCGCACATGGAAGGATCCCATGATGTATTTTGTGGGCATCCAACACTACTTAGCTGTCAGCTAAGATATATATGTATATACAGATATATATGACAAGGTGTATGGTACATAGCTTATAAAACTATCTCCATATAATATGTACAGTACCACCTGTGTAGGTGTTTGAAATGCCCTAAGTATGGCACTTGGTTCATGCTTGTCCAAAGTTCCTTTTCTTTTCTAATCAGAAACTAGATATGATAAGTATGCCGCATAAGACACATAGGGAATGTAATCTACTAGGGTATATTGTATATAATTAGATGTATTTGGAATGTCTGATTGTTTTATTTCACAGGCAACATAGTACAACCCAGTAACTCGTTGTGTAAAGAAGAATGATGCTACATAACTCCCCACCCTGGAGTCCTAGCTTCTGACATACGCTTTAAAGGTCTAGAATTTCAGAACATGTTGCGTTCCCTCTCTCTCTCATTCACAGACATGCACAGTGCACTTCTACCCATTAGAAAGTGGGATACATAGATAAGGTCTCATAGGTCCTATATGTTAGTACCTTCCCTCACCTCTTCCCATGGTGGAAGTGGACCCTTAAGTCTGAGAGATGGATGCTACTGAATTAGATCAGAACATCCCGTATTTTCTTGCATACCACATGTACCCTTCCCCCTCAAGATCAGCCCCCCAAAATTGGGGTGTGTGTATTAAGTGAGGAAGCCGCTGGAAAGAAGCAAGTCTGAAGACACTATGTAGGTCATGCAGGTCTACACGTGATCGCCAGCTACATCGCTATAGCTGGCACTCCCCCCGTATAGTGCACCACTGTGGTGACATAGCGGCAAAATCTAACCATGCGCCGCGTGCACAGTGCAGTAACCGCCTGCGACGTGTAGACACACCCTGTGTCACACAACCGGCCGTGGGTCTGGAATTTTTTTTTTTTCTTGCATTCTGCCTTCTATAAACAGGATGCATCTTTTATTTGGGGCATGTTGTATGCAAGAAAATACCTGATTTGATTCTTGCTTTGATCCTATTGCTTTGCTTTCAGTTCGGGGTTTGTGCGTGCTTGTGTTATGGTAATCCTGGTTGTTTACTCTTAACAAAATTAGTACCCATTTCTGTTTATAGTATCTTAATTTATTCCCATTCGCTTTTAGGCTGGGTTTGCTTGCCTGCAGATACTTCTAAACGTCTCTAGTTTACATGAGCTATCATACAGCAGTATTGAACTGGAAAGGCTCTACCTCCATGTGCTTTTTTCCCTTCGTGCAGCTCCAAACACTCTCACCGACAGACTGGAACACTTATTCCCACTGGAATAAGTGGGACTGGAACCATCCTATTCCCACTGAAGCAAATTGTAAAATGTTCGTTGACTTCGTTATTATTAAAAGGAAGTAGGATCAGGCCTTGAGGCATTGATGCGACGTGTTGCTGCTGTGGCACACTAAAAAAAGCCAACAGCATCCTGGGTTGTATTAACAACTACTTGCAAATCAAGGAAGTGATTCTACTATTCAGTACTGTTGAGGCCTCAGTCCTGTGTCCCATTTTGGGCCCCACAGCTCAAGAAGGACCAAGGGCCTGGAAAGGAGGACATACAAGGAAAAGCTGATAGAGGTAGGGTTATTTAGGCTGGGGAAGAGAGAACCTAGGCGGGATTTGGTAAGTCTTCAAATTCCTGAAGGGAAATTACAGAGAGGATGAAGATGGGCTTGTCTCGGTGAGTGTAGCAGACAGTGGCCTCACACAGGAAGGTTTTAGAATTTGTAGCTCAGCAGTTTGATGCTACAAGCAGGATTCATCTTGCCCCGAGTCCAGTCCTGTTGGCTATGGCTGATACAAGCAGGATTCATCTCGACTCAAGTACAGTCCTGTTGGCTACGCCTTTCCTGGAGTAATACCTCTTCTTTGACATGCTGCTAAACAGGAAGCTAGCTGAGCTCAGATAGTTCTTTGTTTGAGGTAGAGCTAATAATGTCACATTGTCGCCTGTTTATCTGGGTAGTTTAGTGTAAGCACTTGGGATGCTTTATTTTGCAGTTCCCACTTCTTTAAAATGTTTCCTAGTTGATAGGGTCGGAAGGGACCTGAGCAGATCATCAAGTCCGACCCCCTGCAATGGCAGGAAAGAGTACTGGGGTCAAATGACCCCGGCTAGGTGATTATCTAACCTCCTTTTTCCCTCATGTGGCGTAGCTACTCTGTAATCACCCAGTCCCACGATAACAGCTCCCTCGGTATGCAGTAAATACTCGCTCACTTCATTCTTCTCAACCCATGTGCTGAATCCACAGTAACTGCTTTCACACCTACTGGCTGTAAGTACCCAGTAACGTGCATGCCTGTGCTGCAGCTTGCAGTGGCTACGTCGTACTTGCCAAGTAAAAGGTGCGTACAATAGTTGTCTTGTAGGTGCATGCTTGCCCTCGCATTGTGCTGTGCAGAAGTGTCCACAGCCCTTTTTGATCCCATTTTGTTCTGCACTTACTACTACTTGAGCCAGTGTTTTATAGCTGATAGCTAGCTGATCCTTTATACCTGATAGCTATGAAGGAGGATAGCTTGTTTCCTCCAGAGCCACCAGTGGTTGGTGTTGCAGGGATGTGTAGACAGCTGCAAGGCGGGCTCCACCCCTTCATGTTTTAGACTGGCTCAAGCCGCCAAGTCTGTCTTGCTGGTTCCTTCTGCAACAGCTGGGCACTTGTGCCAACACAGAAATACATAGGTATTTCCCGTTCGTGTTTGGTCTTCCCCTTTCGGCCCAGCTGCTGCGTACTATCTACCACCTTCGTTTTAGAAGCCCAGACAAGTCTGCCAGCTTGTGCAGGTCTGAGAGGTCCTATCAGGATCGCTGAGAGCACACACCATAGCTTGAGGAGCGGTCTGTGGAATTTTATTTTGGGTGAGCTACTCAAAAGTGCGCGGGCCCCTTCTGCCTGCATCTCAGACACCTGGTGATGCTCATTTGTGCAGGCTCTAAACAAATGCCTTGTTGGACTTTCCTTTCTTGAGTGAAATCATTACACTTACCTTTGGAATAATCCTTTCACAGCCCGCTGCAAGGCATCCTGCTGCAGAAACACATACGAGTCCATGGCAATACTGACCTACTTGTAGATGAATGGGAAGCTGTTACACCTTGGGGTAGGTCCTGGAAGGCAGAAAGTTTTTAAGCATCATACAATCCAATATTGAAATAATTTTCAAACCTCAGTTTTTTATTGAAAAGAAATCAGTTTGATTCTATTTTCCAGTACTCCAAAGATGGATAAATGAGAATATTTGAAACATGTATTTTCTATTTAAAATTTTGTACACTGTCAAACCCTTTTCTTCTGTGTAATGAACAGTGTTTCTTTCCAATAATTTTAAACAAGGCTTTTTACATTTGCAGTGCAATATACTTGCTTTTTTTTCTGGATTGCACTGTAGCAGTGGAGGGAAAACCGCTGTTTGAGGAAAAAATAGCAAAATGCTATTGTGGCCGAGTTATTTCTCCATGACTGCTAAATAGCGCCCCTTGCCATGAATTTTGCTCTTGATACAATTCTGGCCTTTATAAATGAGATGAATTCTTATGTTTCCACTAAAATTCATTAAATATTTTCTTTTTACCCCAAAATTAACACAAAAAGAATTTTGCCTGTAAAATCTTTGTATAAGAAATGGAAGGTGCAGTTGCTGGTTTCAGAGAGAGGGATATTTCTGAGTATTATAATCTCACTGGGATTTCAAAATGGTACTCTGTTAATCTGCAAACAGCACTTTTTAAATGAATGCCTGTAGATTTGTAAATATATAACGTTTACACTTTATTTACCAAAAACATCAGTATGTTGGATGTTTATTTTGGATTGTAATTCATTTAAAATACATAGGTCAATGTTCACAATGATGGGGAAAAATCTTTTTCTGTCTCATCCAAAAAGATAAAATGGATCTATTCAGAGTTTTACAATAAATCCAATAAAAAACTAAAATATCTCAATATGGTTATTTTCATTTAAATTTTATTAAATGGCTTAAGAATGACGGAAGTGCCTGTAATGTTTCACTACGCTACAGGTTTAACTGAGGCGTTGGTAACTTTAAACCATACAGGTTAATTGATTTATGGTGGATGCCAGTTACATGAACAGTAATTGCATAGCATGGTTATGCAAAAAACATTCGTGTTAACAGCAGGGGCGGGCACTGGATGCAAACGCTGTGAGTGTCAGAAGTTGGTGTCCGGTAGCGAAAAGCAAATTGGAGCATTTCAGCTTCCTCTCGTGGAACAGTTTCATTTCCTGCTTTCCTGGCCTTGCACTGCTATGCCATGTGCTGTTCCAGTCCCTGGGTCTGCAAAGCCAGCTGTGTTCGCATCCTCTTCTGTCCATGCAGGGCCCCAGTGGTTTTTGTTGGACTCCACCACACTGCAGGATTAGACCCATGTTCAGAAAGGAGCAGACTGGCTCTTTCAGACCTGCTCCACACCAGGCAAATGCAATCTCTTCCTGAGCACAGACATGGCTTTTCTTGCTCTTTCTCCAAAATCTTCAGGATGAAATCCCTCCCCTGTTCAGAGGGGCCAGCATAAGGCTTATGTATCAGAAGTACATCCCATTTAAGCCCTATTTTGATGGGGGAGATGTAGAAGGTCACTAGCAGGTAAGTGCTTGTACTGGCCCTCTCCACAGAGATAAACTTTACTCTCAGGGCCCATGGGGAAGTCCTTGTGAAATAGCTATGATGCAGATTTAGAGCACAGTAACTCCTTGCATGGACACTAGGTTAATCCACTTCCAAAATGTGGCATTAGTGCAGAACAGCTGTTCCTGACTAGCTCTCCTGCACTTCTCCTCACTGTGTAAAGCTTCCCTGGGGGTCTGACCCATGCACATTGAAAGCTAGGATGAAGCTCCATTGACTTTCATGGGTTTAAGATAGAACAGTCTGATAAGCAATTTGGGATCTGATCCTGCAAAAGTGTACATTTGTGTTTAATGTTACCCTGAAGTCAGCTGGCCACTCTCAGTGTATAGCACGTGTGTAAATCCTGGCAGGGCTCAGTGCATCAGGCTTGCTTCTTTGACACTTAAAAACACGGTTGAGTTGTTTAGAGACAAAGCTTTAAGTGTTTTCAAACATCTTGGTAACAAAACTTGCATGAATTTGTCAAAAGGTCAGTAAAGCTCGGGTTTGCAGGTAGTTTGTTTCAAATCAGTAAAATACAGAGCTAACGTAAACCCCTGCTTGCGTTCATTTATGTGTACACTGAGATCTCCTTTGTGTCCCGGCTTGTCCAGCCTTCATACGGATACTGGGCAGGATATGATCCTATCTTCAAGCATCACGCTGACAATAAGAAATACAAAGTACAGAGCAAACATGGTAAACCCCAAGAACTTGTTCATCTTCCACTTGGATGTGGCGATTGAGATGATCACAAACAGGAGCATGAGGAAGAGCAGAACGATTGCACAAAACAGGCCATTACTGCTGACAGGAACCGATTTGAATCCGTTGAAGAGTGAATAAAGGAACCAAGGAACTGGCAAACTGCAGCAAGGGGGAAAACATTGAAAAGATGTGTTAAAGATGATCATGGAAATGCTAAGTGCAAATCTACACCGATACAGTGCGCAGAGCAACTACACGCATAGCCTTCCTTGATCTAGATTCATGAGGGTTTCTCTTGCTTTCCACCCTTGGAAGGAAGTTTGGGATGAAGACCTCCTACGCTTCTGTAATGCCTTCCGTGCTGGAGACTCGAAACGATTTACTGGCATTCGGGAGTTGAACCGTCTTCCTTCACTGGCGCGTAGAATCTTTTTTTCTCCCTTGGTTAACTAAAGAAACAGTTTTCAAAGGACCCTGGGTAATGGATGGCCCAGCTGCCCTTCTGCTGGTTTTATGCTACAGTAGAACTAACAAATAAGACTTTCTTTGGAAAAGAGATGCAGTGTTTTAAACTTTCACACAAACACGTGTTAATGCAGGGCTAATACTCACCCCACGGTGATATCGAAGATGTTGCTACCCACAGAGCTGGAGACGGCCATGTCGCCCAAACCTTTGCGAGCAACAATGACGCTTGTGATGAGGTCAGGGATGGAAGTCCCTGCGGCCAGGATCGTCAAGCCCATAATCTCCTCCGAAATCCCAATTGTTTCACCAACCTAATCAACAGCAAGAACAAAGGGTCCTTAATTCCCTCTTCCAGGCCTGCAGGCAAGTGGCCATGTTTGGGTCAGTTCTCTGAAGTGCTACAGCCTATTTCTGGTTTTCAGAATGCAACAGTGTGAATGCGATAGCACGGGGCTGACTTCAAGTCCCTTCTTTTGATGGGTGTTGTCTTGCCTTAGCCCCTTCCACCTGCAAAGTTAGGCCTCAGACATGGGTAAGAGTCTGCCCATCATGCCTCTTCAAAGGCCTCCAGAACAGGCATTCTCTTGACTTGCAACAAATTTAAAACCAGCCTAAGTGCCACCTATGTACTGGCTGAGTGGTCCTTATCCGCACAGCAGTACTGGAGTTGGGAGCCAGTCCCATTTGGCGCTAGGTATCTGCAGGCTCCAGGCAGAAGCTGACAGTTCAGGTGGATTTATGGCTTGATCAGCTATAAATAGGGTGTGCCGTATACTACCACACAGATGGTAGGCCCAGTTCTGCACAGTGCTGAACACCCCCATCTCCCTCTGGATATCAAAGACCAAGCCAGTAGGAGTTGAGGTCGCTTACTAACTATCTAGCAAGATTGGGGTCTATGTAAAATTTTAGCAAGATGAGGGATAATCTGTCCTGCCTGGACAAGTGCGTCCATGAGGAGAGAGTGTTAGGATTAAGCTACATCTCAGCTTGACTGCACTTCTGCCATATGCAGAAACCATGAGAGGGGAGCTGCTGTTCCCTGAGGACCAGCTCCTTCTGCCCCAGGAGTGCAGTGCTCCCCATCTTTCCATCTGCTTGGTTTTGAATTGGCCCCTGGTTTAGGCAGAAAGAGACACCCTTACCTGGTGAGCCCACCATACCATGAGGTAGGAGAATATGGCGATCCAGAGGATGGACCCGAGAAACGTGAAGACAAAGAATTTCCTGGAGTTCTGTCGAGGACAGGTTTGGAAAGAAAACAGTCTGGGGTGAGTGGGCAGCTCGGTGGGGCCATAGTCGCAGCTCAGGTGCAGCAACCTGCACCCCTTCCTCTCCAATGCCCCCCCCCCACTGCCATCAGTACATCTTTGCTCAATTCAACAACCAGACCTCACTGGCCCCTCAAGCTGCTCTACTGAAATGAGATCTACCCTTCCAGCCTTGCATTCACACTGCCCCATCCCCCTGCTGCCATGCTGGTAATCACGCTGTGGACACAGCAGGATTCGACCTTCCAACCACGGAACAGGTCACTGAAGGCAGTGGTGGCATGAATGCCTGTGCCTTGCCAGGGGCCCTAGTGCATACCGTACAACAGCTATGCATGGTGGGAGGAACTTGGTCTTAGTGGGTCTCAATAGGGGTGATTTTAGCAATGAGGGGCATGGACAGATGAACAAATTAGACCAGACAGGAGAGTGGGGTCCAACCAGCCATGGTGACCACCTACCTCATGGTAAATGGAGTTTAAGCCAGAGCTACAGAGCCCGTGGGCATTCAGGGGTAAGCTGCCCAACTTGGTTCCCATCTACCCCTGGACAGGAGTGGGCACATGGTGCTGTTACCATAGAGCACCTGAGACATGACAGTCTCCCACAGGCACACACACCCCCACCCACCCCCGCATACGCAGGTACTTTTAACTCAGTATGATTTATCCAGCTGTTCAGTCTGAGTCCCTTATCCACAGGAAAAGGACAGAGAAGACCAAACTACCCTCAGCCTGGATTACCCAGGTTACTCTGCCCTGCTGGGAGCACAGCTGTATCGCATTCGCCGCCCTGCTCCCATGACTCTCCGGCACATCCGTGTTCTCACACCCACGTTCCCCTCCATGCCCTTAACTGGTTGGGGGCACAGTTCATCTGACAGGTAATGGGGCCTCTTTGCAGCCTTTCCACTCTGCCTGGTCTTACCCTGCATTCATCACTTCCCCAGAGCCTTCCAGCAGCTCATTAAGCAAGAGGATTGTGTCGTTACCTGTCCTCTCATCCTCCCCCCAGGGGAAGCAGGCCATGGGGCACCACACCTTGTTCTGCTGGGGTGCTTGTCTTTTGCTCCAGGTAGGGTGCCTTCTGAAGGCACGTGTTACCATGTCGCACCACGACGGAAGCACCTCAGCTGGGGTGGAAGGTGGAGAGGTTGTGTTGGTTCTAGGCTCATGCCACAGTCTAGGACTCCTTTGCAAGGAAGTTGTTCAAGTTGCCTTTCTCTTCAAGAAAGCAAGCACTGGCTTTGCCAGAAGGTCAGAGAAAGAGAGCTGCTCGTGTACCTTGAGCCGCTCAGTGAGGGAGGCAACCGACAACGGGCCTAAGCCCCAGATCCAGAAAGAGATTCGGCAGGTGAATTTCCATGCGCTGCCTGGGGACCTCTGCTCCGCTGGTGCCCAAACTCCCTGGTGCTCAGTTGGATGTTAATGTTTCTCAAGGGCGTAAAGGTCACATCTGAGCTCTGGCCTCCAAACGCTAGGCATGTCTGTGCCTGGCTGCCTGTTGGGCTCACTTGATGGGCATTTTCACCAATGGATCAGACTCATCACAGCATGCAGGGGCAACCATTTTGTTTGAAAGTGCAGTGGTGGTTGGCCTGCCCTCCCACCTGCTACCTAATCACTGTGTCTGGCCATGCCCACCAGCTGCCTTACCGCCAGCCTGCAGTCTCGGTAGAGCACTCACCAGCAATGTACACCATGGCCCATCCTCATCCACAGCTGCAGTGCCAATTGATCATGTCGGACCCACCTATGAAGACTGGCTGCACATGGACCTTGGCCCACCCACAACCTGCTTAGCGGGATCCATTGACCACATGGAAGGTCAAAACCAGAATGGCAGATGGTAGGATCGGCACCAAGCAACTTGCTGTTGTCTGAAGGCTGTTCCTCTGGCCAGTGTGATTCTGTGCTGCTTTGGTGCAGCAGAGAAGCATAAAATCATAAAACAACTGGGCCCCTGGGAGTTCATCTAGTCCAACCCCCTGCAAAAGGCCAGCTCATCCCTGTCTAAACTATCCTAGACGGGTGTTTGTCTAAGCCGCTCGTGTAAACTTCCAAGGATGGAGACTTCACAGCCCCTCTGGGCAGTCGATTGAATGCTGAGCCAGCCTCATAGTGAGAAAGTTCTTAACCTAACCTAAGTTTCCCTTGAGCAATTTAAGACCATTGCTCCTTGTCCTGTCCCCTTCAGCCACAGGGAATAGTCTGTCCCCATCCTCTGTATAACAGCACTTCAGGGATTGGAAGACTATCAAATCCCCTCTTAGTCTTAATCTTCTGTTTTCAGTGGCCTGCTGTACCACAGGAGTCATCTCAATGACCAGTGAACTGCAGCTGGGTTGAAGACATCCATATATATATATATGGCAGGCTGTCAACATTGGCATGAGCCTTCTCCTGATGGTGCTGAGGTTGCATGTTCATCACCAGCCACTGTGGGAATGGGATAGGATGCAACTTTCTGACTCATGTCTGAAGGTAACGAGCTTCATGCATGATGAATGGCATCAGGCATGTGCATCGCATTCTCCAGCTGGGCAGCAGACGGTGAGTCCAGGAGTGGATCTAGAGGGGTTGTTGTGGTACAGTCACACCCCCTGTTCAGACCATGTCACGGGAGAAGCAGCCAAGGATTTTTAGGTCCCCAAATCCTTCTCTTCCCCTCCGTGCTTGGCAGCATGATCCCCTGCAACTTTTTCCACCTTCCCTTGCTGACTGTCCCTGGCTGACCTGGGGGCAGGGGGAGCTTTAGGACCACTCCCACTCCAATGCAGCTGGACTCGGCAGTGGGGGTGGGTAGGCTCCTCTTTCCTGCCCAGTCCCCCCAGGGTTCCCCACTAGCCCATGAGTAGCTCAGGTGGAGTACCCAGCCACCATTACACCACCACTACTGTCCCTGGCTCCCTGCACAGCCTGGCTAGAGTAGGGCAGGAGCAGCTCTGGAGCTCATCACAACTCTGGGCAGCTGGGGATGATGGCACTGGCAGGCAGGGGTGGGGTGAATGGGAGGGGAGAGGGGGGGAAGAGGGGAGGAGGTACTGCTGAGGGGAGGGGAGGGGAGAGGGTGCCAAGAGCCAGGGAAGGGGGGTGGTTCTTACCCAATTTGGGGACTTAAAAAAAAAAAGTCCCCAGCTGCTGCTCCCACAGCCCAGTCACTGCTTTGGGAGCACACAAGTAGGTGGGTGGACACCCTCTCCCACAACCTTCAGCCAGCTGGGCCAGGACAGCACTGAAGGGCTCATTCTCCACCCCTTGCGATGCTGAGCTCTGGATGCTGAGGACAGACGTCTTCTGTAGGCAAACTTTTATGAGTGGGTGGGATGTTGCTGCAGTAGGAATTGAATAACGTGGTGCCCAACAGGGAGCTTGGTAGACAGAGACTAACTTGTCCTGTCCACCTGCTTGTGTTATTTCCTTGTGTGTCATTAAGCAGCAATTTGGGAACCTCTAGTGCTCACCTGGGCAAGAGGACAAGGACTGTGTGTGTGCCAGTCACTGGAGCAGAGGCTGCAACCCCAGTCATCTCAATGGCAAGCGAACTGCAGCTGGCTTGAAAAGATCCATAGATGTGGTGGGATGAATCTCCTGGTCAGAGAAGGCCAATTCCTGCAGGTCTCCCATGTGTAGGCCGATAGCCATAACCACGGAGAAGCCATATAAAAGGGCAGGAGCAGCAGCCCCTTTCCCCTGGCCCTTTTTTTTTAAGAATATAAGAACCCCCTGCCACATTTCTGAGGGGAGGCTCACACTCCAGAGTAGAAGTACATGCCTAACGTAGCAATGAATAAGGCCCCTAAGCCTCAGAGAAAGGAAGCAACTCCAGGACTCTGGGTCCCGCTGTGGGGGCCAGGTGCCAGGAAGCTGCATGTTGCAATGCTCAGCGGTCACTTTTTGGATCTGGGTCTTGGTCCCTTCAGAGCTATGGAGGGTTTCCACTATGGAGGTGGCTGTGGCACGAGCCAAGGAGGGATGGTCTGAGACAGACAGACAGGCTGCCTGCCCATCAGCAGTCAGTGAGTGCCTGGATACAGAGTGCCTAGAGATGGGCTTGAGCATCCAAACGCCTGTGTTGTGTACAAGCATGCACATGGCGACAGTGTTCCCATGGTGACATCTCTCCTAGCACCAAGCATTTGCTCCCTAATGTTCTTAGCAGACCTGGCTTTCTTAGTTCTTAAAAAAGAAATCTAGTCCAGTGCTGGCCTGGTCTCCTGCTTTTCTGACCTGAGTCTCCTGCTGGTTTTGTCAGGAGGAGGGCCAGAGAATAGGGGAAAGCCATGCAACCACCACAGGTGGGTCGCAAGCCCCACTCCCACTGATATCATTGGTAATCAGGTGGGAAGGACTCTAGATACCAAGCTAAGCACCAGGGGCTCCCGCTGCTAACAAGTTTACCATTTGATTACTCATCCCAGAGACCAGATCAAATCTTACCGGGTTCCTAACATCGGGCACGGTAGTCCAGAGGGGGAACAGAATGGGCAGGAGGAAGAGGTACACTGCTTGTTTTCTCCTGGTTTCTGGCCATTCAAGGGAGAGCGGCTCATCGTTTTCATCGTCATCATCATCATCGCCATCGTCCTCATCCCCACTGTCATCATCGCTGTCCTCCTCTGAGCTGCTCTCTTCTGAGCCCTCACCCTCTGAAGAGGGCTGCAAACCAAGGCAATGCAGCCGTTTTAACACCGAGCACAGGCTGTGTCACCTGCTTAGGACATGGGTGAGTGCACACACCAAGCCACGCACATGGAGCCTGACATCTGCATGTGCCTGCAGGTGTGTAGGTTTGGGTTACTCGATCTGTAAACTCTTGGCAGGGCATCAAGTCCTATGGCCCCCCATTCTGCGGCCCATGGGGACGGATCCCAGCTCAGGGCAGATGCCTGGGAAGGTTACTCGGGACCCTCTTAAGGAGTTGTATTGACTGGGGCCTCTGGTCACATGGTGGTATGGCAATATACACCTCAGCTGGCTTTAAAAAAAAATCTCACCTGCACAGCTATTGGCATTAAATCAGGCTGTCTTTCTGAAGGGACAATGTCCCTTTTCTGGGTTAGGTGTTACTAAAACAGAAAACTGAGCAGAGAAGAGGCCCGAGTCTCTGCCCTGGCCAGTTTCCATAGGTTGGGACAGTTCACTTATATCCAATGGTAGCTTCCTCCTTACTCTGAAATCCAGGGGGGAGCCAGAAGGAGACATGCCAGACCACATGGCCACTCCAACCTGGGCCCTGTACCACTAAGCCTGGATGGGCGCAGAGGTAGCACTCTGGAACCAGGTCCTTAGCCTGAAGGGCCAAACTAGTCACATCCACTAGCTCTTTAAGCTGCCCTGCCCTGTACCTCTACAGCAAATGCAGCTTCTTCCTAAGGGCTAATTGCGAGCAGTGGGCTGTGCCCTATTCCAGAGTGTGGGGTGAGGGCGGGGAGGGGTTCTGTCCGGACAGGGAACAAACAGATGCATGGTTCCAGCTCACGGTACCTGCTCGTCCTGAGGGGCGTCTGCATCTCCCTTTGCATCTGGATCTGCATTTGCATCTCCCTTTGCATCTGGATCTGCATCTGCTTTTGCATCGGGATCCGCATTGGCATCAGCATTCTGTTCATCCTGCTCTTTGCTGGGCTCGTCGTCGCTGGCTGGGGTCACTTTCACGGCACTGGGTACCTGAGCTTCCTCACCTTGAAAGGAGGAGGAGGAGGATGGCTGCAGGGCTGCTGGCCTTGGGAGGAACCTTCCCCTCTGCCCATGGGGAGTCTAGACATGGGAGAGGTTTGCCTTCCCTCATGCCTGAGCTGTGATGGCTCGAGCGTGCTCTCTCTGGCTGCTCAGGGCTCCCATCTGTTATTTTTTCTCAGCTGCTTATCATAGAGGACAAGCTGGGAACAAACTCTCCCTCCCTGTTATGGAGCCTTGCCAGCAGAATAATGGCAGGACCCTGCCTGCTACCCTTAGGCAAAAGGCAGCTGCAGCGAGTCTATGGAGGGGAACACTGCAGTGTGAGTTTTTTCCAGCTTCTCCATCCTCACTGACACCATGGCCCCATGCTGCAGACTGGGTACCTATGTCTAGCTCAAGCAGCCCAAGGGTTGCTAGTGAAAGCAGAAAAAACAGTGACTACTTGGGTCAAAACCCCTTAGGACATTTTCCACTGTTTGTCACCCATCATTGCATCCCTGCAGAGGACTCTGCCAGGACGCAGCTGTGAACTTGCCCCCTTCCAAGGCCAGTCTTTTATCTGCTTCAAAGATGCATCCCATCTGCAACCACCATGATTAACAGGCTGGCACATCGGCACCCGCCGCTGAACTCTGTGGCACGCTCTCCCCTCCTGATTGAAATATGCGCCATCTCATCACAGCAATTTCCATTTCAAGGCTTATTTGACTAACCCACTTCTGGGCCTGTGTGAGTTTGAACTGGATTGCCACGTGGTGATGCAGGTTGGTAGCCAGACTGATTGATTGATTGCTGCTGTGCTTTCACTGACAGCTGTGTGCAGTCAGTGCTAATGAAGAGGGACTTTGGGCATGGGCAGCCTTGGATGAGTGGGGCTGGCAGGGTGAGTGAATACAGCTTTCCTTTAACTCACCTGACTTTGTGGCTAGCTTGAGCTGAGAGTCAATCTTGGCCTTGGCCATGTTTCTCAAGATGTCAACCTTGTCTTTAAACTTGGCTGTGAATGAGAGAAGAGAAAGGACTGTCATCAGCTGTAAGCCCCCTCTTCGTGTCTGCAGTCAGCTCTGATACCTAGGTTGTTTTCTTGGCTGGTGTCTTTTAAGTCCTGAGTGTTGCTAATTTACCAGGCTTGTTATATTTGACATCACCGCAGTAAATATCCCTGAGCTCTCACAGATGATTTCCCATGAAATCTAAAATAATCAGCTTTAAAAGGGACTCTCAATATGATGGGGAAAGAGAGGAAAAGAGCCTCCTTTCCAGCACAGCAACTACTTCATGCCCCAGAGGAATGAGCAGGGAAGGCAGGCATTTGGAAGCGAGACAATTTTGTTACCTGGGGACCACTGATTTTGCTGAGCTTTGATTACATGAGAAACTAGGAGCAGCCCCTCCTTCCCTTCACTTGGGGCTTGGCTGCTCTGCCTGCAGTCTGGCAAATGGCTAGAACAGGGGAAGAGATGCCTTTTTGATTCTGTTTATCACAGGAATGACAGTCTTCTCCAAGCCCTTGAGAGCAGGGCTTTCCTGCAGAGGTAGGTGAGGTGACTGATACTCAGACCCAAGGACCCAGGTTTAATCTAGCCCAGGTGAGAGCACCACACTGCAAACCTCTCCCTGAGTCACCATGCTGCTCTTGCAACCCTGTGTGTGACAAACGAAGGCACCGCCTGGCATCAGCTGAGCTGCTCTAGGAGTCTTTCCCAGTCGGTTGTGAAGGAACTCATCTGTTCTTCTGGATATTGTGGAGGACTATTGGCATGCCAGTGGCTTGGCCTGTCTCCTCACTGCAAAAATGAGACAGTTACACCCCTCCTTCAGCTTTTGGGTAGATCAGCAGCTGGGCTAGACTGAAAACACCACAAACTCCAACCAGAGGGTCTGTGCGTGTGACAGGGACCGGGCTGGGAGTGCCATGAAGGCCATGCTCCAAGAGGTCTCAGACACAGGAGCTTCGTATGCTGTCAGCAAACAGCACTTTGCAGATGTGGGAGGCCAAATTAATCCACTTCTGTGCTGTGGCCGGGCTGGAAACGAATTCCCTCTAGGGCGGCATTTCATTGGCCTGATGCTAATCTCTTGCACAGCTGGTTGTATAACAACCATGTGTGATTCTCGTGTGCCCCCAGGCAGGGCCCTGCAACTGTGTTTTGCTCCATGGGGAAAGGGTCAGTCAGAACCCAGGCCCCGATCCTGCCCGGTCCACTGTGTTGCCTTTGAAGCCTGTGTAGCAGGGGGTTGAGAAGCTCCAGGACAGAGCTCTTTCTCCTTATTGACGCTACATCCAGTGGCAGCTCAAGGTGAAAGTCAATGATCCAGACCTTCCGCTGCAAGCTGCCCCTCAGCCCACATGACCCCTGGGCCTGCCTGCTGCTCTCTCCCCCCACAAAGACACAGCAGTTGGGGCTGAGCCAGCTGCATCAGCAGGGTCAGGCCAGGCATGCCCCAGCACTGATCAGGATTACGTAAATACTGGCTCTTGGCTCCCTGCCCTGGCCTGAGCCCTACGAGCTGAGCAAACCGCGCTGGGAGCGGAGGTTGCGGGTATCTTTCCGTCAAGATAAACAGCTTAGGTTCAGGTCGCTGTCCAGTTTCTCTGAGATCTGTCTGCGTGTGGGCTAAGAGCGGGGCACTAATTCCCATGACACCTTCCAAGGAGCGGGGCTTGGATTGGCTGAGCCCTGAAGGTCAGGCAGGCAGGACGGGTATTTGTAAAGTTAAGTCCCTGTCCATGCCAGGGGTCACTCCAGTGCTGCGCTTCTAGCCCCGGTTCACACGGCAGCCCTGTCTAGAGGGATGTGCGGCTGGGGCGCCTCATAGAGCTACAGCTCCCATGGTCTCATGGCCGACGGGGCAGTAGTGGGCTGGGGGGCAGGAGGGCTTGGTTGGCCGCCTCTCAGCAGTTCTCAAAAACTCAGCTTGAGGAGCCCCATCAGCTAAAACCCTGCATCAGCAAATCCTTTTGAATCCCCAGCTCCTGGCAGAGTCCAACCACCACCCGGTGCTGGGGCTAAGCAGGTCCCAGGCAGACAGAAGGTTGCTGCTGCCTGTTTGAACTCGGCCCTTTCCACTGGCACCTGCAAGCTTGTCTCTTACCCCGCCAGGAATGACCGGTGGTGCCGGGATGTTCTGGCTCTGTGGCTCTCAAACATTTGTGGGCCACGTTGTTAGGTGTGTTACAGAGCGCACTGTCACTGCGCCCATTCTGGGCCCTTTCCAACCACTCGCAAGAACTCAGGAAAATAAATGCTCTTCATTTTTGCTCTTTTTCCCTTTTGCTTGTCCCCCTTCCCTTGTCCTGCTTGCTCCCATGCTCTCTAGAAGTTCACCGTGTACCTCACAGGGATGCTCACCACGGTTTGAGAAACACATGTCTACCGCAGGATCCCCACACCCTGCATTGACAGCAGCCCATCAGTTCTTCAGGCCGCAGCTGAGCTGGTTGGATTCGCTAGCGGGCTAGATCGGCAAACGTCTGAGTGAACTGGCTGAGAGATCCCTGAAACGTGGCACCCTAAATCTGCATTTGGAAAGGCTTCCAAGGCTTTTTTGGCACTTTGTAGTAAAACCACAGCAACGAACCAAACTGCAGAAATCAGGAAAACTTAAAGGTAGGATGCAAGGGTCTCTTGGCTGCAATCTAGTGCACAATGATGATGGTTTATTCCAGTCTAACTTCCAAATTCACTCTCTAACTGGGACGTCACTGGGAGCAGACAACCTTAGCAGGTTTTGCACAAGGTTTGAAAGGACTGCTGGAGCCTGCTCTGTGAGGAGCACACATCACATTTGTGGGTAATTTGCAAACAATACTGCCACATGCACTGTAGGGAAGAAAAAAATTCTGTCCTCTGTGTCAGGGGCAGACAAAGCATACTGAAATAGGTATGTGCCTCTGCCACTTGGCTCTGGGAAACTGGACCATCCAGCACCAGAAGTACATATGTCTGGAAATGGCTAATGACATGCACTCCCCAGAGCCTGTTTGTCATAAATAGGGCTCCTGAACACGCCCATAAGTTAATGGATTGTAATCAGTCACTGCTCTCGAGTTGCATTTGATTCCTCAGGGTCCAGTAAGGTGCCAGAGTGGCCCCTTGTGCCACTAATGTCTGCAAAGACACCTTCGTAGGGCTGTTGTCCTTGTTCAGTACCATCAGATAAAAGTAATGCCCTCCTGAATCTCAGAAAACTGGAGCTAGTAAAATGTTTTCACCCCAAACTAACAGCTCCTTTTCCCCTCAAAACTAGTATTTTTCACCACAAAGAGGTGTCTTTCTTTAAAAAGTTTCACTTTCCATGGATTCCTCGTGAAACCCTGGTCACTGGTGACGTGTTTCATTTCTGGAGAGCTAGGGTTTTTTGGTAAAAACTAGATGGTTAGTAACATTTATACTTTTGATGAACATTTCTGTGAAAAAAACACCAACCTTTTTACAGTGAAAACCCTTGGAGAACAGCTTGCACCATTTCCCTGATTTCCTTGGAAGGGACCTGGGGGCAGGGGCTGGTCCTACAAGCCTTGGGGTGTCCAGTAGAAAAGAACAGGCACTGGCAGAAAAAGAACGAGGGACCCACCCCATGTGGACTTCTTGAGGTGGGTAGTAAGGCAGAGCCTTCCACAGATCTTCAGAGACCAGGTTCCAGACTAGTGGAAATTAGGACCTTAACTGCCCTTTGGCCCCTCCATAGAAGACGAATTCTCTCCTCCCACAGCTAAGCTTCCCACAGAGAATAACAAAGACAGTTCTTCTTTGAGCTCTGGAGGGAAGAGGGCAGGAACTTGTATTAGAAGCTGTAGTTGAACAAGAAGTTGACTAACAGTTATGTCATAGGATCATAGGAAAGTCGGGCTGGAGGAACCTCACAAGGTCATCTAGTCCAGCCCCCTGCTCAAGGCAGGACCATCCCTGACTAAGCCATCCCAGCCAAGTGTTGGTCCAACCTGCTCTTCCAGGGATGGAGCTGCTGCAACTTCCCCAGGGAGCCTGTTCCAGTGCTTTACCACCTTCATAGTCAGAAAGTTCCTCCTAATCGCCAACCCAAATTTCCCCTGCTGCGGCTTGAGGCCATTGCTCCTTAGTCCTTTCCCATACAGCTGAAGAAAAAAGCCCACCTCCATCTTCTCTGTAATTGCTCTTCAGGTATTTGAAGCCTGTTATTAAATCCCCCCTCACTCCTCTCTTCTCCAGACTAAATAACCCTGGTTCTTTCAGCCTTTCCTTGTAAGTTTTCCTTCCCAGGCCTCTAATCATTTCTATTACTCTCTGCCAGACTCTGTCCAGTCTGTCCACATCCTTTTGGCATTGTGAAGTCCAAAACTGGACACGGGACTCCAGGTGGGGCCTCACCAGTGCTAAACAAAGTGGAAAAATCACTTCCTTTGACTTGTAAGGGACACTCCTGTTAATACAACCCAGGATGCTGTTGGCTTTTTGTTGTGCAAAAAGAGCACACTGGTGACTCATATTCAGCTAATGGTCCACTGTAACCCGCAGGTCCTTCTCTGCAATGCTGCAGTCTAGCCAGCCATTCCCCAGTCTGTATTTGTGCATGCAATTATTCCATCCCAAGTGAAGGACTCTGTATTTGTCCCTGTTGAATCTCGTCTCATTGATTGTGAAGCATTTCTCCAGTCTATCCCGGTCATTCTGAATCTTAGCTCTGCCCTCCAGAATGTCTCCAGCTTCACTTAACTTCATGTCATCTGCATAGGCGACTTGTGCTGCCTTGGGGGGGGGGGCACATGCCCCCCCCAGTGACCAGTCAGCAACTGGGGATGGGGGTGTCCCCAGCAGCCAATCTCACTGACTGGGGGGGGGTCCACCTGCAGCCAATCACAAGGCAGCCAATCACTGCAGCTGCTTCCAGAAGTGGTTGCGGCTGCTTCTGGGAGTGCCACGGCGCTCCACTCCCTAGCTGGCGCTTGCAGTGGGGGCACCTGCACTCCCACCTGCCCCCGTTGTCCATCGCCTAAGCGGCGAGCATGGCAAGTCAGGGGGTGCACGTACACCCCCGCCCACCCCCTACACATCGCCACTGGTCATCTGCAAATTTGTTAAGTATACATTCGATCCCATTGTCCATATCTTTAGTGAAAATAGTAAACAATGACAGACCCCTGGGAAACCCCACTTGATCTCTCTTCTCAACCAGACACTGAGCCATTGAGGACTATTAGTTGAGTAAGATGGCCTAACCAGTTATGTATCCACCTTACAGTATTTTCATCTAATCTGCCTTTCCCTTGCTTGTTAATGAGAATGTTGTGGGAGACGGTGTGAAAACCTTGCTGAAGTCCACACTCTCTCCACTACTCTCTCCCCATCCACAGAGCCTTCCCTATCATAGAAGGAAATCAGGTTGGGCAGGCATGACTTGCTCTTGGTGAAGCCATGCTGCCTGTTCCTGATCACCTTGTTCTCCTCTAGGTGTTTCACAATATTCCTTGAATATCTGCTCCATGATCTTTCCAGGTATTGGGACCAGACTGACTGGTCTGTAATTCCCTGGATCCTCCTTCTTCACTTTCCTAAACATGGGTACTATATTTGCCTTTTTCCAATCATTTGGGACCTCACCCAACCTCCACAAGTTTTCAAAGAGAATAGCTAATGGCTCTGAAATGACCTCAGCCAATTGCTTCAGTACCCTAGGGTTTATCCCATCTGGTCCTGCTAGTTTGAAAGCATCTAGCTTCTCTGAGTAATCCCTAACCTTGTCTGCCATTACTTTAGGCTGTTTGACTCCTTCCCTATCTCTGCTGCCAATTGCACTCATCATTTGGTAGCTACTCCTGTTTGTGAAGACTGAAATGAAAAGGCATTAAATACTCCAGCCTTCTCTGTATTATCTGTAACTAGATTGCCTTCCACATTCTGTAAGGGACCTATGGTTTCTTCGGTCTTCCCCTTGCTCTTGACATATTGGTATATCCCTTTCTACTGCCGTTGGTATTGGTATAATGATGCCAGCCCATTTGCTTCAGAAGCCCCCTCAACACCCCCCAATTTGTTAAATATGAGCTATTCCTTTTTTGACATGGGCTTCACAGGCAGTGCTGGGAAGGTAACAGGGGTTACTGAACTCAGATCAAAACACTTCCCTAAGCACAGCAGTGAGGTGAGAAGGGGCAGCCCTGGGGATGTGTAATTTCCCACTTAATCTATCTACATTTTTTCGATCATGCCTTTTGCCACAGGGTTAAGTGCTGATGATACAGGACTGGATAAGAGGAAAAAGGGAACAGCGCATTGCTGCCCACAGAAACTCCAACTCCGAATGTGCTGGCTGCTCTATCCTATAGAGGAGAATGGCATGCTGGCAAGCTGCAGTGGAGCATCATTAAGATAAAGGCTGGGCTGGCAGTGATGGTGCTGAGCTAGGACCTGGTCTCTGCCAGAGGCTTCTTGGGTGAGTCACCGAACCTCTCTGGCTCTGTCTACACTCTGTGCAATACACTTCCCAAGGTCAGCACCCGGGCCTTCAAACTCGGCTCCTGCTCCTTATAGGCTGGCTCTGAAACTAAACGTGGCATGGTTGTGTCTGTCAAGTGCTGCCAGTGGGCTAATTGGTTTGGGGGTGGGTTGGTTGGCCTGTTGCAGCAATGCTAATTGGCCTGCCCAAGGCATCACGTGGACACAGCTATCCAGCTTCTAGTTGAGGAGACAGCCTGCCTGGAGCAGTGCAGTCTGCTTGAGAGCACTGCTTCCAGGCACAGCAGGGTGTCCCATCAAAAACAAGTATACTTCCCTTCTCCCAGACCCTCCCTCTTTAGGCTACAAACTTTTAATGGCAGGGACTTTCTCCAGCTACATGTCTGTACATCATCTGACACTGTGAGGCCCTCACTTCCAGTGTGACCATCCTCTACATGCTGCTACTATTATTACTAGTCTTTCTTTATTCCAACAGCTTTCCAAAGACAGCTCCCTTTTTGACATAATTTAATGTGCCAGAGGTGGCCATTTGTGTGTGTCTGGGTAGGCACAGAGGACAAGCAGATATTAGCAGCACCTTTTCCGCAGAGCATTTGTGCAATAATATCTCGTTTCACAATGCATGTCTTCACACAATATGTCACTGCTGCCATCTCCTGGGTTCAGTAGATATGCTGGAATGCGTGTGATCACATTGCCATCTGGTGGCTATAGCTCACACAGGGTAGACCCTTCCACCCCTCCACATGCCTGGTTGCTCTTGGGTGACCACCACTGCAAAGACGGCTGATATTCTTTGCTAAACCCCTGCCAAAAAAGAGCCTTTTGCCCCACTGTACTTACCAATGTTGCCTCTACCTGCCCAGTTTGTGTTAGGAGTTTGGGTTGGGCAGTCCTTTTCATAACCTTAATGATATACACAAGAGGTGTTTATCTGCTTAGCTTCAATCTCTTTTTGAATGGCATAACAGATAATCCTTTTAGAACAAGTAGGGCAGTGGGATTGCATGCTGGGAGCTAGAAAGGAAAGCTGTCAATTAAAAAAATGTGTGAGCTTTGTGGTTTCTTGGAAACTCAACCTTGGATCTCTGTATAGATGCATGGCTGATAGAAAGCAGCAAGTTCAAGGTTCCTAGGCGTGGGCACTGCGCTGTATTCTGGAGTCTGGCTCCTCTACACCCAATCCAGTTTGGGAGAGGTAGGCTCAGAAACACCACTATGTCACTTTTGCTATTCCTTGATTTCAGGGTTGTGAGGCACTGAACGAGCACACTCAGGAGCAGCATCTAGACCCCAAGAAACTGACATGTCGTCTGTTAAGTGCCAGGGACACTAAGAGTGATAATGGTCATGCAGTACTAACAAGAGAATAGCAATGCAGGGCAAGGGCTCAGAAGTGCTCAGCATTGGCCAAACTCTGCTCCTGTTGACATGAGTGGTAAAATTCCTGCCAATTTCAGTGGCAACAAAATTAGGTGAACACTGGGCTCTTTTTCAAATCCTGCCCAGCACAAAGAAGAGTGAGAACAGCTTGTTCAGCTCCAACTCCTGACTTAGATTCACCCAAGGTTTTAATTTCATTATCCTGACAGGGACCTGTGTCTGGATTTCAACAACTGCTGGAAGGATATTTTCTGGAAAGCTTTAGATTGGTTCTGGAGTGTTATCTTGTCCATTTCTTAGCCTTACACCGGTGTGTGAAGCTATAAAAATGTATACAGCTAAAGAAGATCTCTGGGTCTTCCTGTGTTAATATCTCTAATGTACTATTAAAAGTCAAGCATTTCAATAGGAGTAAACAAAATGCAAATGCATAACAATGCATGTAAGAAGCCAGCCTCTGCTATGCTTGTTATTTGTGTGTATCAAAGCAATGAGATCTTTGAATCTAAAGAATGTGTCATTGAATCCCTAACACACAGAACCTAACACAAATCTGAAACTGTTGTCAGAAATGATCCCTTGTTATACCTGCCAGACAGCTGGAATTAGATACCAGAAGCAAATCTTTTAACTAAAATATTTTCATTATGCCTACCACTGCTGGGTATCCATTCCACCTCCATGGCATAAGGAGAGGCTGCTGACATGCTCCCATAAAAAAGACCAGAGATTGCTATCTGGTTACAAGCACATTAATTTCAATATGTTTGCAGTGGTAAGACAGTTCTGCATTAGCAAAGCAATAAGCATTTATCTTACAGCTACCTTGCTATGACACTCAACCATCTCTAAATCACTTATTTATGACTTGGCAAAAAGAAAATATCTGCTTCCAGGTTCACAGAGCCACTGGCCACCAACTCAGAAAAGGAGAGCAGTTTTACAATCTTGTTAATGCCCCATCGTCTTTCATCTGCTGAGGAACCCATCTGATGCAAGAGCAAAAGCAGATCTGCTGAATTTTTCATTTCCTGCCTTGTATTAGGTGTTTTTAACAAGCTTGGAGTTTCTTGTTATTGGGATAACAGCTCCCACAATGCATCAGAAATGGCATGCCAGTGCACGAGGCTCCTCAACAGAGGAAGGAGTGAACTTTCACAAGGAACTTCTTTACTGCAATAAGCATATCTACCATGATTGGCCAAGTCCTCAGGTGGTGTAAACTGATGTGGCTGACCTTGACAGAACCATGTTGCTTTACACCAACCCTGACTTGTATGGCTTTGTATAAATCACAGTGATTTGTACCTGCAATAGGGGTAGGGCACGGGATCGTATAGCTGAGCGGCATCTGCTCACCTTCTGCCAGGGGGTCCAGGGTGTGGATCATGAGCTGGAAGATGGTGCTGCGCATTTGACTGTTGTGGAGAGAGGCTGAGCTGCCTCCTCGCTGCAAGGATGGCATGAGCTGTAGAACAGAGCACGTGGACAATACAGCCATTAGTACCAGGGCCCTTCACTGGTTTCCCAGTTGTGTGATTCACTATGTTCGCAATTCATGGTTTCAGGGCTGGTGCCAGGAACCAACATTGGTTCCACTGGTACCAATGCAAAGAGCAGACCTAGGGTGGGCAGGCTGTAGTCCAGCCCTTCAATCAAGTTCATAGTGTGCCTGAGAGCACAGTGAGCTGGGTTGTGCTCCCATTTGCTCAGGTCATGAGTGCAGGACTGGGGCTAAGGATCTTGAAACACAGAAGAGGGCACCTCTGGTAGGAGCATGGGCCCACTCCCCTCCTGCCCAAGACATCCCGCACTAAATACAGAGCCACAGCACACTGCTGCCCACCTACCTGCAGCCTCTTGCCCTCTCCTGGTGATTTTGCTCCATCTTCGAGGATAGACCCCGTACTTTTCTGCATGCAAACAAGAGCAACAAGTCATGGGGGTGTTCATGGGCTGCCTCCACTCACCCCAGATCTGGCATCATCCACACACGAGTCTGAGACAGAGAAGCGCTGTCTGCAAGTATCTGTGAGGGCAGCTTGCTGACCTGGGGCCACACATTTCCTTCGGAGAGGAGAAGCTTATGACCATAAAGGGGAGCGGGGTGAGGTTTGCAAACCCCTGTAGAGAGCAAAGCAGGGAGTGGTCAAAGGGATGGAGGGCCAGCGCCATAGTGTCCCCATTTTGCAATACTTCCTGAGGCACCAGGCAACCACTGGCTCAGTTCCCAAAGTGTACCTTCCCCATCGTCTCAGAAAGTTGCAGAGCAGGACTAATCCTGCATTGAGTGGCATTGCCCTCTACCCATGTAATGTGGGATCAGGTTTCTCCAGCCTGGCTGGCTCCAGCAGCTTTATGATCTGCTGCTGTCTCACAGCTAGTTCTCCAGTCGCTCGAAGTGGAGAGGT